CAGTAAACTTCTAAGCGGATTTCCTCGGGAACGAGGTAAAGAATGAACCTGTTTTCTAATTTCTTTTTCTTGACTGGATAAAATACTTTTTTCGGCTTCAAAAGTAGCCTGGCTGTACTTGTCATAAAAGTTCTTAATCATGGTATGGACTATGGACATACGCTATCCATATAATTATTTTAATATTTCTAAATCCAATTGTTCTTGATACTCTCTGATTTCTATTTTAACGGCTGCTTCTTTTTCTTGCAACCTCTTTATTTTGTCTTGAATTCGACTTAAGTAACAATTCCTCTTCTTTATAAGATAAGTAAATACTCCTTGACGAGTGTGCAAGTCAAGGGCTTTTAAAGAGGAGCAATTGCTACACCCTTGACAAGCATAATTTTGGACTTTGATTTTTTCAATATCGGAGTAGAGCATAAGTTTTAAAATTCAAGGTGTTGGTGAAAACAAGGAAAAGCAATCGTATCTTGGATGTTTTCGGTGCCACTGAGGAACATAATTAATCTTTCTAAACCTAAGCCAAAGCCACCGCTAGGGGCATAGCCAAAGCGACGCAAATCTAGGTATCAAGTTAGTTTATTCGTATCAATCGAATGCTTTTTAACTTTAGTTTGAAGAGCTTTGAGATTGCTTTCTCGAACACTTCCTCCGACTAATTCGCCTATAGAAGGGAAAATTAAATCAAAAGTTGCCACAGTTTTTTTATCCGATCTATCTTTCATATAAAAGGCTTTTAAATGGCGGGGGTAATTAATAATAAAAAACGGTTGGTCTCCTAATACCTGACCTAAATACTTTTCGTGTTCAGAACTTAAATCAGTTCCTCAACTTACCGAGCCAGAAGTAAATTTTTTAGCCACTTTTTTTAAAATTTTAATCGCTTGAGTGTAATCTATTTTAGCAAATTCTTTTTTAGTAATCGCTACTAACTTGGGAATAATTTCCGGTGCTTGATACTTTTCAAAATACTTTAATTCTTCGGAGCAATTAGCAAGCACTGAACTAATAATAAATTTGATTAGTCTTTGAACTAGTTTAAGTAGCGTTGCTAAACTGGCGGTGGGGACTAGTTCAGCCTCGACCATTCAAAACTCTGCCAAATGGCGAGTAGTATGAGACTTTTCCGCTCGAAAGCAGGGTGAGAAAGTGTAAACTTTGCCTAAGCCTTGAGCCAGGGCTTCGGCATGAAGTTGTCCACTAACCGTTAATTGGGCTGGTTTAGAGAAAAAAGACTTTTTCTGGTTAGTAGTAAGGTTAAAAGTTGCTCCAGTTCCTTCGGCATCGTTGCTAGTTATAATTGGGGTAGGAACATAATAAAATCCTTCTTGATCAAAAAAATCATGAATGGCTTTACTAACCCTATGTCGTAAGCGAAAAAGAGCTAAAAAATAGTTAGTTTTGGCTCGTAAGTGGGGAAAATTACGAACTACTTCGAGGGGGATTTTTTTCTTTTGGAGGGGATAGTCAGGGTCAGGAACAGAAAGAAGAATAATTTTTTCAACCTTTAATTCACAAGTTTGGGTTCGGTGAGGAGTTAAAATTAACTGACCTTGAACCCTTAAATAACTACCAAATTTAACTTTTTTTAATTGGTTGGTTAATTCAGGTGAACCAATTAGTTGCAAAGTTTTCAAACTCGAACCATCTTTAATTTCAAGGAACTTATTTTGTCGCACTGATTGGATTCAACCACTAACTTCAAGGCTCTTTTGTAGACTTAGGAATTCAGTTTGGGTAATTATTTGTTTAATAGTTAGCATAATTTAAAAGTCTTCATTATCATCCTCATGATATTCATCTACTAAAGAGCATAATCCAACTTCAGTTAAAGGTAGTCCAAATTCATCATATTTACCCTTAATTTTTTGATCTTCTAAAAGTTGGATAACCTCTTTGCATTTTTCCCCTAAGTCATAAAGGGTATCTGAGTCTCAAGTATCAGGCTCATCAGAATTAATGGCTTTGGCTTCGTTAATTTGGTTGATTAATTGGTCTAACTTTTGTAATTTATTTTCAATTTGCTTTTGTAATTTCTTGGATTTTGGCATATTATTTTTTTGGTTTGGAGGGTTTTTTTGTTATTTTCTATTTTTTTATCAACCTTTTCCTTATTAAAATTACTGCCCCTTTTTAACGCAGAGGGCAGGAACTTCGACACATAAATATAAACCCCATTTATTTGCAGAGTGGGGAACTCT